AGTCCCTTGATGAATAAGAATCCTCTAAGTCTTAATTATAATTTAGAGCAAAGGAAAATAGACCATTCACCCAGAAATAACTCAACAAGTTATTGGAAATCCATGCATTATTTTTAACTAAATAAACAAGTGGTGGTTACATAGAAGGTCACCTGTGTTAGGAGGACAATGAAGTAAGACAGTAGAGAGATCCAGAGGTAGCCTAAGAACCATGAATATCCCCCGAGTTGTATGTGTTAAGCTAGCTGGTAAGGGTATAGAACATCTCTTCAATGTATTCAGAGGCACCTTATTATTAAAGTGTCAAACCTCTTTGAGCATTCTTCAGTAATCTGCTGTTCCATTTTTGTTTCATTCATTAAGTAGTTTCTGAAGCATCCCCTAAATTCCTTTCTTTAGTAAAGTTCTCAATGAAAAAACTGGGAGCAACCCAAACTATTTTGATTCGCTTAAAGGAGCATAAGTCATCTTTAGAAAGAAACTGTAAATGAGAATATGTTCACAGTGTGAACATATTACAAAATTTCATAGCTCAAGAGATGACCGTGATCTAAATAAATGGAACACATAATTGCCATAGTTTAGATTTGTATTTCCTCTTTAACTTATCACCATAAAAATCTCATAAACAGGTAAAAATAATTTATCTTTCTACTCATTAAGAAATAAAAGGGATGATATTCACATGAGTGGATTAAAAGGTATTTTATTCCTAAAATGATTGATATAATGATTTTACGTATTTACTAAAAGTAAATTAAAGGCTAATCTTTAGCATTATGTTTTATTGCCAAAGATATTTAAAGTGATGTTAAATGTACACATGGTTTTAGAAGAAAACCATATGTACATTTAATTTCTTGATATAATTGAAAACTGCATCCAGATATTTAACTGACAAATATTATTTTCTATTATAAAAGACATTGTATAGGTATTGTGGAAACATGAAAAAGTCACTGAAATCTTTGCCTTTACAGACTGTGATTTCATACTGTAGATATGTCTTCAAGATAATGATTTTTCTTAAATACTATACATTTCATATAATGGAAGCATGGATGAGTTAACTTATGTGGATACCATCTAGTCAACTAATTACATAATTTAACCACCAGGGATACAAACACTAGTCATTTGTTAATTTATCTCTGTATCACTTGATACGTTAGGAAAACTAATATTTATGTCTATACATATAACTGACATAGACATTATCAATTTCATTTGTCCATTCATTAAATGTGATCCCTTCTACATAAACAGCCTTCTTATATTCTGAGATGATCACTGATTTACGATGCATAGGTCACGAAGACAAAAATTTCTTTAGAATGGCATTAAAATATATTGACCTTATCAATAGAAAATCACATGCTCAATGTTGATGTTGCATGCCATTCTGTGAAACTCCCCAGGGAGAAACTCCAAAATGTCTGGAATCTACACTGATGTGCAATCCAACTGAAAATTGCTGATAGCATGTCCAAGACAACATTCCTGACTATATTATTCTATACAGAAACTCCTATAAGGAAGGCTATAATATTCATGGTCATGTTATCCAATCACAGAATGATTCATATGTAACAAATTAAAGGAGGACATTTAATAACAGCAAGTCTCTGGGTCTCTGCCTGGTGTTCAGAAGAGCCTGGAATGGGATGGCAAGACCAGATAGCATCAAATTAATCAAGAACACATTTAAGGAACAGAATCTATCCATGGCAGAACTCATCCTAATTTTGGGAAAGGTTTACCAAGAAAGGAGTTTTATTACAATGTCAATTGGAGAATATGCTGAGAAACTCACCACCTGGCATTCTCAGTTTCAACAAACTCCAAGACTGTTTATCTCCTCTGTTAGATGAGAAAACTCCAACTTGGCCTTCCATTGTTTGGCCTGCCTTCCACCTACCACACCTTCATCCCTAATGCCTCAGCATTTTCAGGACAAAAATTGCTAGAATTTTCCTAAAAGAGAACTTCCTGGTGGCCATCACTTATTTCTGAGTGTCTGGGAAATTATATTTTTGGAGAAGGAACAAGAGGGTCCAGATTATCTTTAAAAGGCTGAAACTTTATTATGTAAGCACTTAGGAAATTTGTAAGGAGAAAATGAGGGAGAAGTAGAGAAAGTAAGGGAGAGAAAGGAGAAAAGAAAGGAGGAAAGGAGGCAAATAGGTAGGCCGTATTGCCTGCTTTGTAGCTCCAGTCCAGCAAAGAGAGCTGTGCAAGAGGAAAGAAGCAAAATTACCTGAAGAAAAGCTGTACTTGTACTGTAAAAGCTCTAAAGGGGTTAAAAAGCCTCACTACCCTCCTCAACAGCACCACTTCAGGTTCAACCAGGCAAATATATGTCTTCCTGCAGTCCTGTGGCCCCTTCCCCTTCTCTGCAGGTGGCTTCATCTGGAGGATTTCCATGTGTGCTGGAAGCAGGCATCTCTGATTTGGGTTCTGCCTTCTAGGAGTCAGGGGAGTTGGCAGAGCCCACTGTGTTTACACTGCAGCTTCCTCACTCCACTAGGTCCTCATCTCTGCAGCTGCAGCAGACTTGAAGAAGGCCAGCCAGGGTTAGGGATGCCACCTGCAGTGAGTCTGAAGACTGACTTCCCCAAGCATTCTGGGCATAGAGTCCTGAGGGACAGAGATGGGCCCCTGGGATTGTTCTCATACAGGGGGTTGCCCATGCTCACTGGTTTGCCAGTGCTCCTCAAACTCCAAGGAACCTAAATAAATTGATTGAGATGCAGAGGAGACTAGAAAGTATATACAAAAAAACCCTAATTATGTGGGTATATTAGAGGTGAGGGTCAAAAGGAAAGCAATAGAGAGACCAAAGGGAAGGAGACAAAGAAGAAAAAGAGTGTAAAAAGAGCCCCCTGGAGACTGTGCTGAGGAGCAAACATTTATTTGAAGACTGCAGCAATGCCACAGAGGATGCTGAAAACTGCAGAGAGAAGGGAGTATCTCCTCTCAACATTACTTTTTAATGGTTTATTCCATTGACTAGAATGTAATTGACTTTTCTGTGGCTTCATGGTTCTGGGCCTCAGTTTTCTCATCTGAAAAGCAAAGGGTTTGAACTAGATTATCTTACAAGGTCTCTGCCTGATGTGACCCTCTGCAACTCAATCTGAGCCAAGGAATCTGAGACCAAACATCTATGAGCCTTCATACCCATTTACCCCCGTTTCCTTCACTGCCCATTTGCAGAGCAACACCTGCATCATTCATTGAACTAATGCCAACTCAGTGATGACAAGGAGTATGGCTCAATTGTAACAAATGATTGGTCTTTCTGCTCTGTAGTAAGGGAGGAAGGGAGAAGACAGTATGATGTATACTTTGGATTTCCAGGGAGAGGTTATTCTCAAATTTTCAATTTCAAATTTCATCCATTTAAATAAATTATAAATTCCTTTGAGGGGGTGGAAATAGACAGAGGAAAGGGCCAAAGAGGCCTATAATGATTCCCCATTTAGGGAAATTTTTTATTTCATTTCATCCCAGAGATTGGACCTGCTTTTCTGTGGAAATCCAGCACACACTGGCTGGGCTCTTCTCTTGCCTGCGTGACTGCCTCATGCCATTTTGCCAACCTCCTTCAGTACAGCGTTTTCTGGGGTTATTGAATAGCCAAGAATTGATGCGAGCACACTCATGAGTAACTAACTATACAATGATGCCGACCGCCCACCCCCCACCACACACAAATGTAGGCAGTTTAAATGACAACGGAGGTAAAATGTGTTCTTACATGTTTCCTTTTGAATTTGTCTCAACCTGAAATTCCTTTAAATTAAAAAAATTAATATGTAGAACTAAAACTCCCTTGCTTCTCTTTCTTTCAAGTGGGAAGTCACACAGAGACAGTGTCTTATACTTTGTGTTTTCCACACCCTCCAGCATTTTCATTTCATTTTAGTCTCCAAAATATGGACAGAGGGGCAACTCTAGAAAAATGGATTCTCACTCTGGCATCTTACAGGGCACTGATCCGTGCACACTGGCGCTCTCTCTGTTTCCTCGCCTGTAGCCCGTAAGGTGCATCCCGACCTCCTAGCCCTCTTCCCATGCACATTCTTACACACAGCATTCTAATTTCCACAAAGAGTTTGACCTTGCAAAGATCCTTCTTCCACTTTCTGGGCAAGGAACAACATATTTTAACTCAAAACACGAAACGACCTTTTCTCCTTTAAAGAAACACTACCAAAATGTAACCCTTCTGAGTTGCATTTCTCAACCCTGCATTCCAGAAGGCGAGTGCGGAATGCAAAGATAGGTAACTAGTTTGTGTCTGATGGTCCCCATTCAGCGACTCTGAGTCTCAGACTCTGTCCAAAAATCGACGGTGCGGTAGAAAGGTTTTTCTTTTTTTGCCTATTCACCATTGTGACGAAAAATCAAAAACGAAAAATTAGCACGTTGAAGGACTGAGAGAGCTATGTGCTTATTTTGCACCTGTCTCCTTGGATTTGAAGCACTGACATCCTGCTTAGCAATCAGCCCTGATGTCCATACCATTCTGGTCCACTCAGTTTTACTTAGCAAACATCTTTGCTGCTCTTCCACAGTGGGAAAAAAATGGTGTAACAACCCCACGGATGATAGGTTGATACTTGACTGCAACCACTCAATAGTTTTATCAGCAACCGGAAAACTTCACGATCTGTCAATTAGCTACTTAAATTTGTCCTAAGAACCCACCTATGTATAGATTTAAACTAAAAAAGCAACCTTCTTTCACCTATCTTAAATCTAGCTTAAGACAGTTCCCCAAACACGCCGCATACAAACACACTCCCCCACCCCCATTTTTCCAAAAGGTCCCCCATGGACTAATAGAAAAAGGCAGCATTAACCCAGGCAATTGTCATCATGCATTTAGACGTATCTACGCAAAGCAAAGTATGTGACAATAGCCAAAGCATCTCGCTGACAATCGGCTGCGCTATACATGCAGAAATGCAAGGAAGATTGTATTTTCCACTTACAGTTATAGCGCTGCGCACGGTCACTTAACGAAAATGATAAAACTCAACAGTTCTTTTAAAATATATATATATATATTTAATTCGGATAAACGGTTAAGCCGTCTCTGTGTGTGGTTCTCTCTCTCTTTTTCTTGGAGCTCTGGGCTGCTTAAATCCCTCTTGAATCGCGCCTCGCGAGCCCAGCCGCCGCCGCAACACGCTCGGGTGAATCTCTGCTGCAGATTGGGAATCCCATAGAAAAACCTAGGGTCCCTGGAGCTGGATGCGCAGGCGCGTGAGCCTCCGCCTCGCAGGCACCCCCTCCCTTTTCTCTCCTCCCTCTTCCCCTGGCTCCGCAGCCCAGTTTGGAGAGCTGGGGAACTGTGACCAAAAGCCGCCTGGCAGTGGCGCATGCTCAGTTAGGGGGTGGTGGTGGAGTTCAGTTTTCCGCGGGTGGATTGTGAGACTCCAGATTTTAGCAGACATTCAAAGTAGATTGGAAAAGGAGGCCCTGCTTCCCTTCAGCCCGCACCTGGACAGGCACGAGGGAGAGAAGGTAGTGTTCACCAGGCCTTGCAGTTACCTAACCTAGTGACTGAAGGCAGAGGCCGTAGATGGGACACTAGGATCCTGCTTGTCCAACAGCGCTCAACCCTAGCCGGCCCCGCATCCACCGGCTGCCAGACTTTAAGGTGAAAGGGAAACTGCAGAAACCTCTGAAGAAAGCCTACCTGGCAAGCTGTGAGCACGTCTACGTGGCTCACCGAGACAATAGTTGTGTTTTTTATTTTGCCACGGGTCATGCTAGCAAGTACTAGCAGCCGGTTCCTTCAGCCCCTTCAGCTCCTAGTCTAGAGCGGTGTAGGAGAGAGGTGGGCCCCAGACTTTGTGCTTGCTCTCTGTACCTTGGGCAAGCCATGCTAACGGTCCATGGAGCTTAATAGGCTCCTTCTGTATACACAAAGTAAATGTTAATTGAATATGCTTTGCTTTGGGCAGGGGAAGAAATAGTGGGAAGGGAATGAAACCTGCAAATCCGGGCTTGAGGGCTGGTCCTGGGCCATCCATAAAGCCCCCTTTGTGTCCTTGAAAGACTAGTTTGCCAGCCCAGTCCCGCTCTCCATTGGCCTGCCAAAGCCTGGAAAACTTGGCAGGAGTAGTGCCCAGTAAATGCTGATCACTTCGCTTCCCTACCTGGAAAGCAAGAATTCCCTCATGTTCCCAATGTAGTCACTTCACCCAAATGTGTATGTTTGTACCTTGACTCCTCCCATGGAATCACCACTACTAGACATGCACCATTGTTTGGAGATAAACGCAATTAACAAAAATCCCTCCTGGAATTTGCATTTAGGGGGGGCATTGTTTTCAAGGAAGAGAAGTTCTGGGAGCCCGATGAAGATGGACGTTCCCCTTTAAGCAGAGAGTCTTCACACACATTATTACAGTTCAGAAAGACTGAAGCTGACCTTCTGGTGTTGCGGACACCTAGAGCGCCTCCGGTGGCAAACGGGCTGGGCTCTAAATCAATAAATCCCCACTCTCCAGGAGGCAGCTGGACCTATCTTCAAGTGGGGGAGTCCAACTTGGAAGACACTTGAGGCTCCTGACGCGGGGACCGAGGGAAACGCTGACGAGTCTCTGACAAACGAATGTTCACGCTAGGTGAGGGTCTCAGGTGTACACACTAAGTGGCATTCAATGTTAACCTTGCTGGCCCAGAGCTCTGGAACGCTCTTCCCGGGGCCAGACACCTCGGGACAGCGCGCTCTCGGGACTCCCGGGACACCACCAGTGACCGTCCCCTCCCGCGGGGCTCTTCCGCCCTGTGCGGGTGACCGTGGAAACCCGGAGCGCGGAGCCGCGCGGACCCGGGCGCGCTGCGGCAACCAAGCACGTTCCGTTCTGAGTGTGGCGGACGCGGGCCCCGCGCTCTCGGCCGCAGTGCGCACTGCGCAGCGACGCTGCCCCGCGAGTCCCCGGGTTCTTTCAGTTTCCAGGGATTGGGGGGGGGGCGGAAGGGGGTAAAAGTCACTTTTGGATAAGTAGTTTTGGTGACCCTGAGAGACGACCTCAAAGGTCGTAATTTCCCATCTTTTGTCGATTTTTCCCCCCACTAAAGCATTTTCCACAAGGCTGATTTCTTTCTAGAGAACAGGATCCGCACTGCAATCCTCATCAACTGAAGGGGTCAACCGTGACTATGCCATTTCTCCATTTCAAGGACCTGTGTCTATTTATTGAGCCCTGGTGGGCTCAGTTTTAGATAACTTACTTTCAACTTGTGTTTAGGAAATAATGTACACGGATACTTTAAACCGCACTCCTACGTAGATTTGATTTTGATGCGTATGCTTTTGTAAAGCACTTTTCTCTAAGTGGTCAGACAGACATATAGATATATATCTATATATCTCTATCTATCTATATCTATCTATCTATCTATCTATCTATTTTAAAATTTTTATTTGTTCTGCAGCATTGTTTGGCATCCTCAATGCAATATCTTCATTTTAACCTCCAGTTATTATGTAGGCTTATCTTTTAATGGTCTTAATATGCTGTGCTACTTAAAATGCTCTTTAAATTTTATATGCAGCACGAAGTAACAGTAGAAAAACCAATTGCAAGAGACATCAAATGTCAGCATTCAAGCTAGAGAAAGAAGTTTCCATTTTTAGGATGGTAGAATGAACTTGGAGAGAGCAATGTGGTAGAGACACTGAAAAGTGAAGGAGTCTTCTGTTGCTTTCCTTAGCCAGGCATCTGTAGATGTCACCTGTAATCACAGGAGATGCACTGCCCAGCAATTCCCTATGCACAGGGGCACAGGAAGTGGAACAGCACCATGTGGAGTGAAGAATCCTGGCCATTCTAGCAGGTGTCCTGTTACCTAAGACCACATTCCTAACATCCAAAACTCAGTGTCAGTTGAACATTTGGGGAACGGGGTCATAGGGAGGAGGTTGTTTTTGTTTCTGGAGTGTTAGGTGGTCCTCAATTGACCAGAAACAGCTGAGGAGCCATTTTCCTTTCCTTGGTTGTAAATTATGTTTTTTGAAAAAATGTTTGCACTGAATAGCAATAAATTATAATTGTGTATATTTATGAAGTACTAAGTGATGTCATAAAAATGTATAGAAACAAGATGTGGAACGATTGACTCAAGCTCATTAATGTATCCATCACTTCACACACTTGTAATTTATTCCTAAAATGTAACTGAAATATTGTATCTTTTCACTAACAGCAAATTATATTCTTTACAGAAGTTTCTAGCCTTACTTTCACCTCACTTATTCCCAGGTACAAACAAACAATCCCAAAGATAACTTTTAGGTGTACACAAATCCATTCTCATTTAACTGTGGCACAGACAAGATGAACACAAAGAATGAGAGAAAAATGTGATATGCCAGTTATAAAACTGATCTAAGCTTGTGGGCCTGTGACCTCATGGTAATATTATTTATTTGAAATATTTGTAAAAAGTATGTAAGTCAATAAGGGTGGAACTTAAGGCAGGAGAGGATTTAGGAAACTGGAAGAAAAATGAAGTGTTTAAAAGTCATTATTAGAAAATGAAATGGGACAGAAATTTAGTAAATAGATTTATACTCATTTAAATGTATAAAGAATGGTTATGGCAGTTTTGTATGGATAAAGTACCTTATGCATTATGTAAGATACTTCGGTTTACCTTGATTTTTGTATTCTATTTTAAAATACATGGCCAAACAAAATAACTTCACTAAAGTTACTAGGAAGTTATATCCTAGAATAAAACCCTACTGTATTTTTGTTCTGACATGAAAAGGTTTCATTTTATGTGTTATATTTCTAAAAGAAATGGAGATAACACAAGACCATGAAACAGTGATTCCTCTACAATTGAGAGTTCCATGACTCTGTAGAGGAGGTCGAGTTCTAATTGTAATGGACCTAGTTGAACAGTCCTTCCTGTTAGTCCATCTGATTTAGCTCTGCAATCTATGACTGGCTCTACATTCAGTTTGAAATTTACTTTCTAGGTGTGAAAATCAGTTTCTTTTAAAATTGGAACAATCCACAACAAAAGTTTCTTAAAACTCCATGGAATAAATTATTGTTAAAACTGAGTTTCCTACAAGTTTCTTAGAACCTCAGAAATGGACAAAGCAAAGCAGGAGTGGAGACACATGACTGTTATCCCAGCATGTAAGAGGCTGAGGCAAGAGGATTGCAGGTCTAGCCCAGTCTAGTCTACATAGGAAGTCAAAAGCAAAACAAAAACCCCAAAGCTGTATTCTGTTATCTCTTCTAAATTTGATGCTGACCTGTAGATTCACAGCAGTGCTCTTAAGCTGGAAATTATTAGCTCCCTTGTAACAGCAATGCAAAAGAAATGATAATAAGAGAATTTGGCTATGTATGACCCCTATTTCTTTCCTTCCATGACTTTTTAGATAGTCCTAGACTGTACTTTTTTTTTCTTCTTTTTCTTTGAGTGTGTTGTGTGTGTGTGTGTGTGTGTGTGTGGTATTAGGGTTGAACTCTGGGCTCAGGCTTCCTAGGCAGGTGCTCTGCTAAGTTAAGCCATGCCTCTAGCCCTTTTTCATTTAGTTATATTTAAGAAAGGGTTTTCCATTATGCCTGGGCTGGCCTGAACTGCAATCCTATTCATACTTCTTATGTAGTTGACATATATACATCATATATGACAGATGTATATCATTATACATAGCTTTTTTTTTGGTTGAAATGGGGTCTTGCAAACTTTTTTGCATGGGCTGGCCTTAAACCTTTCCTCCTGATGAAGTAGCCAGGGTTACAGGCTTGGACCACAGAACCCGGGACTGTAGTTTTTTTTTTTTTAATTGCTTAAATAACACTGCAAATAATATCTGGGACCCCTGAACTTCATGCATCATTTGTTCCAAAAGGGTTTTCAAAGATCCTTCTTGCCTAAAGCAGATCTTATCAACTTGTTTTTCCCTTCAATCCCTGTTTTTCTACAATATAGAACTTTTAATGAAATTCTTAACCTTAATTGAGAATCTTAGTATAAAATTTAAGGAAAAATTGAAGTAGTGATTTTTACACCCCCTCAGAGGTAGCCAGCACAAGCAAAAACCACATTCTTTTATCAAAAAATTTTCATGATTGAGTTTCTCTTTTTTTTTTTTTTTACTGCCTGGAGCAGGAAACATGGACTCCCTCACTTCTTAGTATTGCTACCATCCTTCCTCGTTTAAACTCACTTTGCTATCCTAAGGAGGAAGTGTTCAAGAAGAGAAAGAGTGACCATTGAGGATCTTTTGATTTTGTTTTTTTAGTGTGGATTTAGTAACCATAGCACAGTCACTAGGAGAATCAATCAACCTGAATTTTTTAAAAAAGAAAAAGAATATTTGGGTAACT